AAGTACCTAAAGATAAAAACGTGGTTCGCTGTAAATGTGTGTTCAAAAGAAAGGAATGCATATCAGGGATTGAAGATGCTAGATACGAGGTTAGATTGGTGGCAAAAGGCTACAGTCAGATTCCGGGTGTTGGCTTTACAGATGTGTCTCACCAGTTGTGAAGCATAGTTCTATTAGGGCTTTACTTGGATTGGTGGCTAGAAATGATTTGGAGCTTGAGCAAATGAATTTCAAGACAACATTCTTACATAGAGAACTTGAGGAGAGCATCTACATGCAACAACCTGAAGGATTCACAGTTTCAGAGAAGGAAGACTATGTGTGCTTATTGAAGAAATCTTTGTATGGATTGAAGTAGTCATCGAGGTAGTAGTATAAAAGGTTTGATACATTCATGACTACTTATGGTTTTGATAGATGTAAGTATGATAGTTGTGTGCAGAGAAGAAAGTGGTGGATCAACTACATATTTATTATTATATGTTGATGATATGCTCATAGCAGCCATGGATAAAGCAGAGGTCAGAAAAGTAAAATTACAACTAAGTAAGAAGTTGGACATGAAGGATTTGGGTGCAACGAAAAAGATTCTTGGAATGGAGATCTTAAGGGATAGAAAGGCTGGCAAATTGTATTTGAGTCAAAAGGGGTACATTGAGAAGGTACTTGAAAGATTAAATATGGTGAAAGTTAAGGCTGTCTGTACTCACTGGGCTGCCAACTTCAAACTATCATTTAACTTGCCACAGTCAAATGAAGACATCGATTATATGTCTCGGATTCCTTACTCCAGTGCAGTTGATTCACTCATGTATACTATGGTTTGTACAGGACCTGACTTGGCACATGCAGTTAGTGCAGTTAGCAGATTCATGGCTAATCCTGGCAAGGAATATTGGAAAGAAGTGCAATAGATCTTCAAATACTTGAGGGGCTCTTCAAATGCTTGTTTGCATTTTGGTAGAATACAAATGGAGTCATTGGCTATGAGATTCAGATTATGCAGGGGAGCTTGATAAGATGAGATCACTTACAGGGTATGTGTTTACCCTTGGAGGCTGTGCTATCAGTTGAAAAGATACTTTTCAAAATACAGTAGCTTTGTCTACAACAGTAGCAGAATACATGACCATTACAGAAGTATGTAAGGAGGCCATATGGTTGCGAGAATTGATTGGTGAAGACTTGCAGATGTATACATTATTCTGTGATAGTCAGAGTGCAATTTTCTTTAGTAAAGATCAAATGTTTCACGAAAAGACTAAGCACATTGTGTGAGGTATCATTTTGTGCGTGATATGATTGCTTGTGGTGATGTTGTAGTGAGCAAGGTTGATACCAATGATAATTCTGCTATATGATGATAAAAACCACTTCATATTTCTATGTTTGAACGTAGTGGGTGTTTCTCATTGATTTAGTCCATTGGGGCTTGTGGAAGAGGATGGGTGGTGATTATTGATTGAGTTGTGACTTGGAATTTCTTGTGTTGGAATTTGGTTCAAGATGGAGATTTGTTGTGGTTTGACCCAAATTCCATTGGGTATTAGAGTCCAATTTGGAGTGGTTTTGAAGATGGTTTTGAAGAGATCAAAATTATGGTTCGAAGGAAAAAGTCATCCCATTTTCGCTAGTCGGCGCTAGCTTGACGCTTGAGCGAAACAACCCAAAAGTCTATCGCCCGACTATCGCTCGCCCCTCGCTTGAGTGAGGGGCTGTCGCTGACCCAAGCCCGTTTCATCTGTTTGACGCATTTTTGGACTTCTTTCCTACTACACAACATGTTCCTAGGGTTTTCCCATATATAAGTCACGGCTTGTAATATGATATGACATTCTAACATCAAGAGAATTGAGAGAAAACATTCTTGAGAGACTAGATTTTAATTGATTATTGAAATCTTGATATTGTAAACATAAAACTATTGATTTTATAGTGGATTCTCCTCCTCTAAATTTCTTGCGTTCTTGTTCTTTTCGTATTTATTTCATTGTCTTTATTATCTTATGATCCGAATTTTATAACAGTTATGAAACAAAGGAATATGAAAAAGGAAAAAATAAATCAGATAATTATGTTTAAGGCTATGAGCATTTAAACCTTGGAGAGTCTAGCAAAGTTGTTTGGCAAAACTTCAAAGGATGCTTCGTGGCCTTGATCGGGCATCATAATAACCTTTTTCTTTGCCTTAAGTGTTATATCATTCTCAGTCTTATTAACAACTTGTAACTTGGGTCTCGCTGTATCTAGTATAACCTGAAATAATTAAATAACCAACTTGCACTCAGTTTAGTCGGAAAATAAAGTCACCCTATTCTCTTGTCTGTTTATACGAAAACCTTTAATTTAATTTTGGATTTATATTCATAATTACTTCAAACATTTACATATAAGTGTTAGAGAAAATATTCGTGAACGAATACTGGTTTAACAAATATCGGATTTACAACACATACCGGATATGCAACTTAGCGTATATACAACTTACTGGATATGCAACTAACATATCGTATATGCAACTAACATACCGTATATGCAACTAACATACCGGATATACAATAATAATTTAATATGCTATATCTTAACTAACAATAATAATTTTTATTCTATACTATTTAGATTATTTGTTCTATTTTACCATGATTTATTTAACTTATTTTGTTTGTTGTGATTAGCAAATAATTTAATATGCTACATCTTAGCTATTATTCGATATGTTATTATCTATGCTACATATGATTGCACATTTTCAAAGTGTGGCCATATATAACGTGGTTCTTGCTTTCATAAACTTCCTATGTAGGATAAACTCAAATTTAATTTTCCCTCGAACATAAATCATATTCCAATGGTCCACTTTGAAACATTTACCTGAGCTTCATTTTTGGCAAGTAAATACATGATTTCAATGTTCTCGTGGATGAGAACACAAATCAATGTTGATATTCCAAAATAAACAAACAAGTCCAACTCAAAATTTATGCTAAAGTCAGCCATTTACCTCATTTTTTCCAACAATAAGAACCAACAAATTCTTCTTCTTCTTGACACTAGGAAGCAACAAGATTCAAACACGGCTTCATATTTTTATTTTTCTCAATTTTCCCAGCAACCAACAGTAAAAAATACATATATAACAACAGAAATAAATCTGTAAAGCCTAAAATTTTTATTCCTCATTCAATATAATTGTTAATAATGAGAACCGTGACTTAGTAATTTTTTTCTCGAATTATTATAAACAATCAAATGACAGTGAAGATTTTGAAGAAAAAAAATATGAACAGAGTTTCTTAGAGCTCTTAATAGCATCCTTCAAATTCTCCAGGGTTTCCTAAGGATATTCCGCATTATTCCACGAAATATCAAATATAGCCACTACCCATTAGAAAAATAAGCACTGTTCCAAGACAAAAACAAATAAAATTGAAGAAAAGATTCGATTAAACTACCAACATTCCAGTGTGAAGACAATGGGATATAACCTCGACCGATCAAGAGTGAGGGCCCAGCGTCCCTACAATTTTTGTCATTGTCGAAAAGAAACTATGTACAAGAACACACGATTACTCTCGAAGCTCTAAATCATCCATGCAAAAGTGGATTTGCAAGTACTCTTGAAAAACTCAAGAATGCATAAATTTGGTTGCATAAAAAGATGACACAGTGTTATTAAATTGAATATAAAAAAGTTAATGAAAAAAATCAATTTACCCGAATTTCAAAAACAAATGACATGAACGAATTTTTCAGATTTATTCGAGAAGGAATTCGAACATGAAAAAAAGATCTGAAAAGAAAGATTTTCCAGATTTAGAAAGAAGAAAGAGATTAAAAAAAACCACGAAATCCAAAAGTAGATCTAGAAAAAAAGAGTTTTTATATATCTAAAAAGAATAAAGAGAAAAAAATAAAGCCACAAAATGAGATGAAATAAATGTTCTGAAAAAAGAAAAGCAAAATGATCACTTATATTTTATACTTAGCTCACTTCCAAGTGGCTCAACAAATTCGGTTGAATCCAAAATGGTTGAAATGACCACAAATTCGGCTTGTGAACAGTAACCCACAAGTGCCTCTTTTACTTTTATAGTTAGAAGTTGAGTCTCTTACAGTCATTTGGCGGGAAATGTGCAATCAAAGAGTGAGTGTTTGAGCCATATTATTTTGGAAGAATGTATTTTGGAATAATAGATTGATGGAGAATTTGTGGTTGAAAAAGAAGGAAAAGTTATTGATGTGATGGAAACTATTATTTTATTAAAAAATGTGTAGTTGAAAATGAGTAAAATAATAAGAATGAAAATTTTAATGTGTACCAAACAGAGACTTAAAATCAAATCAGACACGACCACCAATATACAAAAAATCAAAAAATCTAATTTTAGTGTTATGTTCGTCAAATTCCTTGTTCAAATAATAATGGGCCGAACCATTCCGCCTAATGGAGGTCAAATTATACAGAACTGGGCCATTAGCCGGCATAAACAGGAGTGGGGTTGGTTGTTCACAAGCTTCTGATGTATGTATAAACGCGTGTCTCATCCGCACTTTAACCTACACACACTCGGCGCAAGGTAGCCCTATCTGCTCTTCAAAAACCAGTTTTACTCCAGTTGTGATTTTCCCATTTCTGCACAGCTTTTCTCCACAGAGCCTACCCTTCGGGCCTTCAGCTCTATTAGGGTTAGGGTTTTATGCTCACACTCTGTTGTGCTACATACGGACACAGAACTATTTGAATTAGTGTAAGACTTACGGCGGTATAGGATATACTGCTTGTGGAAAATTAGGGTTTCCGGTCTTGATTTGTTCTTTCGATGCCTGGGTGCTTTATGCGTAATTGTTGGTTGTAAACGTAGAAATTTTGGGCGCGCTTTCTCTGGAGAATCGGTCAATTTCGATGCCGCAATACCCTCGAAATTGGACCGTGAAATTGTTGTTTCTGTGGAGTACATGACTTCAATTTGACGGACAGTGGGGAGTCCTGGTGGAATTTTATGGCGCCCAGCCGAAGAAAAGGCTCCAGCAAGGCTGCTTCTGATCGCCGACAGTGGAAGATCGGCGATCTTGTGCTTGCAAAGGTGAAAGGATTTCCAGCATGGCCTGCTATGGTATTCCCATAATTTTTTATGCCAAGTATTTTTTTTTTCCGTTTTTTGCCCCTGCTTTATCTGAACTAGAATTTCGTAGTGCATGCCAATTTTCTTAGATTCTACAGTTCTTGGGTGTTGAAATCAATTATAAGGTTTCTTCGTATCTTTTTCTTATCTGTGGATCTGACTTGGAAACTGCACATTTCACTCTTTCGGAGTACTTATGGGTACGAGCATGTTGTTTGGAGTTGAAAATGTAAGAAATAACATATGTTACATTAAAATAATTTACAAACTGGTACTTGGGCGTCCTATGTAGTCTGTGTATAAAAGTTCACACCTCTGTAGTTTTTGTGATTTGTTACCCTTCAGGTTTATATTTTGGACTGCCTTAGTATATGTACACTCCTCGATCGATCTGGATATAGAAAAAAATTCTTACTATTTGCATTGGTTTATCAGTTTGATTCTGATGGTGAGATATAATAAAATAACAAGTAATAAATTTGCAAAAAGTAATAACATAACAAAAATGTATTCTACTAGAAATATATACAATCCAAAATGTTCCTATTTTATCACTACTATCAAGATCTTTAAGAGGATCGTTGATGTATTTGATTTCTCTATCGCTATCCTCACATTATATATTTGTTTATATTTTTCATCATCATCCACTTGCAACGGTGTCTTCTCCTTAACCTTTTTCTTTCTCATCTATAGGCAAATAAAAGAGAAAAAAAACCGTAAAACAATCTAGGTTGTAAAATATAGTTCAAAAGGCAATAGTTAGCAATAAAATGCCTGTAAAGGGCAAGACAAACGATCAAACACCTTGGTTGCCTTGAGGGTGAGCCTAACGAATGGCACTCACAGAATGGGTTTTGTTTTAGTGCTCGAAAAATATATTCCAAAACTTTCGTATGCTCTCCATTACTTGTATGGATAAAACCTATATTATTGAGTATATAAATTTGATCATAGGATCATTTTCTAGTCGCATAGCTTCATAATAATTTTGTAAACCTTCCACATAATTTCCTTTGGATTTAGCTAACATCTGTTAGGGTTGTCAATCAATTAAAATAGGAGTCCTTCTGTAAGGCTTCCGCATAAACATTAGTTTTGCCCGTAGTTAAATTATATACTATGTTACACGGACACTTAAATTAGGGTGGCGTGTCCGTGTCGGACATTTGTCGGATACCGACACTCATCGAATACTCTAATATAGTCATTTTTTTTATCTGAAATATTATATATTTTTAATTCAAAATTATTATGAAATAACAAATAAATATTTACATTTAAAAGATTTATACAAAAAAAATTAATAACAAGTATAAAATTAAATTTATACTGGATAAATGAAGAATTTTAAATAATATAATTAACGTGTTTACGACATGTTGCGTCAATACTTTTTGAAAATCGTGTTGTGTTTGCCACGAGTCGGTGCGTCATAGATTATATATATTGGATATTCTGATAAAAAAACACGTAGTTTTATAATGAGAAATGGAAAAGAGGTGATATTTAAATTTATTGTAAATATTTTTCTTTTTATAATTATAAATTACTATAATATGCAAGCCTGAAAGGCTCATGGATCACCATGTCATGAGCTTGGTATAGACTAACAATGTTTATGTTACATGGTTGTAGTTATCCTGTATGTCATGACTGACCTAGGGTCTGTAAGAAACGCCTAATTTAGACATGTTGAGAATATTTATCCTGATGCTGTCCTGGTCCAGTTGTTGACACCTTGTTTCTCTTTTCGTAAATGCAGGTGAGTGAACCAGATAAGTGGGGTTACTCGGCTGATTGGAAAAAAGTGTTTGTCTACTTCTTTGGAACCGAACAAATGTGAGTGCTCTTAGTTTCTTGTGGATTATATATTAGTTGAATACTTTGTGCTTTGTTCTTCATACTAATTGCAAGGAATTATGGTATGCATTAAGCTAATTGCATCTTTGATAGTTTAGCAGTTGATGAACCTTTATCATAGATGCTATTTCCTACCAGTTCTAATGCTATAATCTACAACATGGCCCTACATCTGCCCCGTTTTATCGAATAATATTTAACAAATTACTTCAACTTAGATTCATAGTTATTAAGTATCGGTCTAATATAATATTAAAAAGGCATTTTATTATGTATTAAATCTTTTCGAAAAATTAGAAGTTGTGACAACATATGATTATTTATTATTCTTCTTAACATGGTTTAAAAAAGCGGTAGCGAGGTGCGCCTCACTGTGACGCATGTGGTATGCCTCGATGCGGTATTTTTGAGGCTAAAAATATGAGGCTCACGTCTCTAAATTTGAGGCGCGCGCCACGCCTCATTTAAAATTTGATTTTTCAATTATATGGAAAAAAAAATCAGAAATGGCTCTTCTTAAAAAAGAAAATGGCCAATTTAAAAAAGCATTTTGGGCCCAAACAGAACATTAAAATACCTAGATGGGGAAATTAGATATGATGATGATTCTATTAATGATGCTAGTAATAGTGATGATAGTGCAGATTATTAGGCTTTTTTTAGTTTAAGTTGCTTCTTTTTTTCCATTGCATTATATGCTCCAACTTTAATTTTTTTGTATTATTATATAATTCTTTTACTTAAATTATTTGTTTTTTGTGAGGCTTACGCCTCAATCCGCCTCGAGGCTTACGCCTCGCCTTATAAAGAAAAACCGCTTCAATACTTAGTTTTGCCTTTTTAAACCTTGCTTCTTAATTAGCTGATCTGGTTGTCGTTTTGTAGCTATGCTCTGAAGCACTTTGCTTTTAAACATGTGTTGTATGGTTACTTAAAATTTTTTGTTAGTGGGCATCTTGAATCATTCCTATTTTAGTTGATGTCATTTATCAGAACCTCACTACTGATAAAATTATTGGATTCTGGACCTTGTGAACTCATTATTTGTATAATGGTGTTTAAGAGTTGGGACTTTAACTAACATAAGCTTGATCACTTAAAATTTGAAGCTAAATAGTTCCATAACTAACATCAGCCATATACTGGTTTTTGCTTTAATTCCTCGGTGAAATGTTTCGTAAAAATGACAAAGAATTGATTTAAATCAGTTCAACTACTAATGTATTGGAATGTAAGGATAATTGAGCTTATTCTCTGTAACATAAGGTTCACTATGATGTAATATGTCTTATCAAAAAAAAAAAAAACTATGATGTAATATGTAGAACCACGATTTTTAGTTGGTGTTGTTATCTATATCCATGTTGGTAAACTTTTCTGTTGACTGGGATTGCTTTTCATGTGAATTGGTTTAAAACAGTTCAACTGGAACCTAAGGATGTACTTTTTGGGAATATTCGCTACAGGATAAGGTTCACAATGATGTAATCTGTAGAACCAAGATTTCTAGTTGGTCTCATTGTCTATATCCATGTTGGTAAACTTTTTGACTGGGTTTGTGTTTTATATGAATTGATTTAAATCAGTTTGACTGCTAATGTATTGGAACATAAGGATGCATTTACTTGGGCATATTCTCTATAGGGTAAGGTTCAAAACTATGTAATTTGTGAACCAAGGTTTCTAGTTGGTTGCATCGTCTATATCCATTGGTAATCTTTTCTGTTGACTGGGTTTGTATTTCCTTTTCGTGTTAACTGTTATTTCTATTTGAGGTTTTACACGTTCCCATTTGAGATGATGAGCTAGTAGTGGTTAAGCCTAGTCCGACTTTTGTGTAGTTCAAAAAAAAAAAAAAAACCTATATTTTTGCCCTGAGTACCTGAGGGGTAAATGTTGGGAAAGCAGTGCTGTTTGGTTGGTTGCGATTATATTTTGGTAGTAGTAGAGTAGAATTCTGTGCAACGTGGGAAGGGAGAGATAGAAGGCAGAATAGAAGTGTACTAAAGAAGAAGAAGAGAGGGAAAAGAAGAATTAAGAATTAGGAAGAGAAATTTAGGAAGAGAAATTGTAAGGAGGATATTTTCAATATCACTGACACTGAATACTGAAATGATCCTACATTTATCAGGAATTTTAGTCTTTTTTGTACTATAAATTGCCAACAAAAAGGGGGTTGCTAATAGTAAAAAAGTCAAAGAAGTTCTTAATCAGATTTTAGTTCAATGTTTATGCCTAAAGTGGCGAGTATTTTTGGCATGCCTCCAATTAAATCTCCATTACATTGATTTCACATTTCCCTAGGCTGGATGAAATTAGCTCTCTGAATAGCTTTAATTTTTTTAGCTAATATTGCTCAACTGCTTATACAGTCATCAATTCAAAAAGTTATTTCAAGCTTTGACTATTGATTATGCTAATTAAAATTGTTGTTAAAACCTATAGGCCCGTTAGGCTTTTTCCTTTTTGGTTTTTTCTATTGACTATTTGCTTATTTTCACATCCTTTTTTACTGTAGAAAAACCAGTTACACTGTCATAAACACCCAATCACTTTGGTGGAAACATTTGGTCCTTGTTCCATTGAAGTTTAGTTTGTCTTTTAAATCTCTTAGTAAAAACTTTTGTGCAAGGATTTTTTTTGGCGATTAGCAAGTGATAAATAATTATACAAACATCTGTAAAAGATGAAAGATATATTCCTTGCATTTAGAATGATTACTTTGACAAGGATTTGTATTTATACTCGTCATAAGTTATGTGGAGAGTAAAATAAACATGATTTCAGGGAGACTGGTTAAGTGCACACTCAAATTCTGCAAGTATACAAGTCCAGATCCCGGAGTTATTTGAGTAATTCACTGTTAAAGTATGAATTATTTTAATCTGGTTTTGATATTGTGATTGTAGATCAAGATAGTAGTAGATGGTATCAGCTAAATACCATGAGAAGGTCCAACTGTACTTGTGCAGTTCTTTGGTCGAACTCCTGATTTTTCCATCTTAGGTCAGTGTTTCAATCAAGATAAACATGCTCATGAAAACTAGTTTGAAATTTGAGTAGCACTGTTAGTTAATATTTTGCAACTAAACTTGGTTTTGTTTAGGAATTCTCCTATGGTTTAGGGTGGGCATACATTGCTTTGGTGAAAGGAAAATCATGATACAATAGACATGCATGCATGTTTAATTTCTTTAATAAGTTTTGTGCATATAATGCCTTAATGAACATTATTTTGAGAGAGCTGATTGTGATAGTTACTGATTGGCCATAAGTGAAATTATGCAAACTAGCCATCTCATCATTGTTATTGACTGGAAAAGTGCTCAATTTCGTGGTTCTAGTAAAGAAACTTGAGTTTAAAAGGATAAAATTCTTTGCATTAGTGTCTCTGGATGGGGATTTTGGATGAGGGAACATCAACTAGGTCACTTCTTTAACATATAGAGCACTATGCAATTTTCATTAACTGACATTAGTTTTATTATGTGATTTTAAATTAAATCCCTGTTTGAGCCCCATTTTTACAAAAATCTATTTTTTCAAAACTCATTTTCAACCACACTTTCTCCAATAAAATAATTATATATGTATTTCTGAAAAAATTTCTTACTTTTTAACCACGCATTCTCCAAAAAATCACTGTTCCACAATACATTCTAACCCAAAAATGGGGATCAAACAGGGGCTAAATTTCTGCTGCTTTTTTTTTTCCTTTTTCCTTTTTCCTTTTTCCTTTTTCTTTTTGAATTTTTACCACATTTAAATTATGAGCTAGCCTTACTGGATTTCAGTCTCTTTTTGGTGATGAGAACATAGTTCAGTGAAATAGTTATGGTGGTATGTTTTTGAGCACACTCTTATACGATCAGACTTGAGAACGGTGTATTTATTGTAGACTTCAAAAAATTTTATGTAATCAAAAAGTTCGAGTGTATTCGATATAAATTTAGAAGATACAGTCTTCTGATTTTCAATGTAGACTTGGAGATTTTAAAGTCATGCGATATTTAATCATACTTTTTTTGACGCTTATAAAAGTCGCGGTGTATTCAAAATGCTATTTGACTTTTAATGAATTATATAAAATTCTCTACGCACTAACTTTTAAGCACAAAGTACAAATACAAAATCTCACTTTTTTGGAAGACTTTCACCAAAAAAGGGGTTTGATTTTTTCCCTCTACAATATTTTCCTTTCTTTTTTCCTTCTACCAATCCCAAAGCCATGCTAATTACTAACTTTTTCGTATAAAAGGAATATTAATATTTCTTCTCTCTCTCTTCAATCTGTTATTTTCTCACTTTTATATTCTCCTTTCCATTTTTTCCTCTCTTTCATTGTTGCCGACATTTTCTATGAAACATAAAATCAATTTGTAAATTAAATTATTATAAGATTTTATTGAAAAGTTTATTAATTTGTAATAAAAGTTTTATGTATTGGTTGGTAGTTAATTTAATAACTTTCAATAGGTTTAGGTCTTGTTAAAGATTAATGTTTAGTCACTGTATAATATTTTCTAGATCTTTTCCCAGGAGTTATTATTATTATTTTTTTTAATTTTCTGGCTGTATGGGTTAATTGTAGGGAAGTTATTTTTTCTTTATCGTGATGAGGATTGATGCCTATACTTTTTATTTTTTGTGTGGAGTTGTTTTGTTACGACTTCAATTATTTCACTTAGGGTCCGCTTGATAAGCAAATGTGGAAAGGAATTCTAATTCCATGTTAGTTGGAAAATGAAAACCTACCAAACATATAGGAATTTGTTTTCCATGAAAACAAAGAAAATACAGCTTAAAGTGGCTGTATCTTGAAATTCGGTTTCCATTTCCACGTTACAATTAAACAGCCAAACAGCCAAAGTGGAATTCGTTTTCCTCGGATGTGACATTTTCCATGGAATTTGTTGAAATCAAACAGGGCCTCAGAGTCTGTATCGTGTTATTCTGACTATTATAAATAATTATTTTTTTCATTGAAGTCTATAAAAGCTCACGATAGTCTATAAAACTTCCACAAAAGTCTTTAATAAGTTGGCAGGGTCTATAAAAGTCAGTTCATGAACCTCACGAAAGCCTTACTAAAGAAAGCCAAATACTTCTTTCCTTCTTTCTATATAAAATATGTTTGCTGTATGTTTAGGCCTTTCAATAAGCTGGCTATAACTCTTAGTTACTTGTTTGGGAAAAGTATTCTAGAATCTAGCATAACCATCAGTTATAATATATTAACACACAAGTGGGTGACAGTGAGTGCCAGCTTGTGTTCTTTGTTTTTTGAGTTTGGTAGTTCTACAGTTAGCATGCTATAACTTGACTGTAAGTAATTTTACAGGAGATTAAAAAAAAAAAAAAAACCTTAAAAGAGTTTCATGATTTATGTTGTTAACTTAAGGTTTATAGGTGGATCTCAGAGTTTATCTCAAACCTGATTTATAAAATGCTCCTTACTTTATGTGCTCGTCTAAAGAAATTGCACAGATGTTGTGTCAAGATCCTTTTTTGTCCATTTGAATTTTTTCTCACTTTCAAAATTTTAAGACAGTAGAAAAACATACCCCAAAAATTTAATGACGTCGATAAATTTCTATGTATATTTGCTTTTATATACTTCACTTTGTTTTTTCTACGAGCTCAGGATTGGTTGAACCTGAGCTGAACTCCTATTTAAATAGAACCCCACTCTCTGTGTCCGTATGTTAAGTAGTCTGATTGGAACGTGGTCATAGCAGCATTGTGGTTTTTCTTTCTGGATTTTCCAACGGGTGAAGAATGGGTTTCTTATTCTTTATCTCTTACCTTTTCTGGTTTGGCCAATAAATTACGTTTCAGTGTGTTCTTCCATGTTTATCATTTAGCATGAGTGTGAGCTCTTATGCCAGGTTTTATCATTCAGGTACATCCATACATGCCCAAAAAAATTTCAACACTTAAACCTTCAAATACCTGCAAAAGAGAGACCATTTTTTTTTCCATGCGGAGTCAGTTGATTTGATCTTCATTACCCTCTAGTTAGAAATTGGTCACTGTAACTCTATTTAATTGCGACTCAACTTTTATGTATCATAATTTGCAACATAACTCGCTGCCTAACTGAACGGTGCAGACGCTTGCATTCTCTCTCAGTGCACTTAGTATACTGGTTTACAAGATTTTTCTTCCTTTCTTTCTTTCCATTGACAAATTGGCCCTTTGTACAGTGGCTTCTGTAATCATGTAGACGTTGAAGAATTTACAGAAGAAAAGAAAGAGTCTCTTTTGGTCAGACGTCATGGTAAAGGTGCTGATTTTGTTCGTGCACTGAATGAGATCATTGATTGCTTTGATAAACTGAAGAAACAGAGCCAAGATATCAGTGCTAATTGTACTGATGAAGTAAAGATGATGAAAGAAAATAATTCTGCAGAATCCTCAATCAAATTGGGATCAAAGGAAGAAGATGCTGCATTTACACTTAAGTCACATCTGAAGACACCTGTTTCTTCTGGAGCAACACATGATTTGAACTTTCTAACTGAAGCTGCTGTAGCTGCTGCAGCAGAAGATGGTCTGCACGATGAGGACATGCGGCTAGAGGTTTCCGGTGCTAATTGTACACATACAGACAAGCCTTCGTTGATGACTTACTCTACAAGAAGCAAAGCTGAAGTAAGCCTACCAGAAAAAGGTGTATCAGAGCGGAGGACGTCTGCACGAAGGCCTAGAGGTTCATCAAGGATTGGTCCCCAAGACATGACATTGTCTTCTAGCAACAATACTAGGAGCTCTCGTCGTGTTGTTACCAATGCATTGCGGGATACATTTCTGAGAAGAAGTAAAAGGATTATGAAGTTGCCTGATGATACTGATGGACATGAAATGGACTCATATGCTTTTGTATCAAATGATAATGATGATGAAAATGATTCTGATACGGTGACAGTCTCTGATAATCTTAGCTGCGATGACAGCAGCACTTTAGACTCCGGTTGCAAAACAAAGCAACCTGAGTCTGTTTTTGATAACTGTGAAGGGGAAACTGAGTTAAATGATAGGCTTGACTTTCAAACTAATACTGTCATTATTAAAAAGAAACGGAAGCCAAATCGGAAAAGACACAGCAATGATACAGCTGACTTGGTAGCTAGATTAGACAAAGTAATTTCTGAGGCTGAGATGCAGAAAATTGAACACATTTTGCCTAGTAATAATGGGAAATCAGCCGAAAAATGTACAAAGGAAGATGGTGATGAGCACTTACCACTAGTCAAAAGAGCCAGGATTCGTATGGGCAGACCATCACCTTCTGGGGAGGAGCCAGGTTCTTTAGCATGTATGGAGGAAAAATTGTTGGATGTTTCTAAAAGCCTTACAATGCTGTCCCCTGGGCCCTTGAATTCCATGGAAGATGGTTCTGCGGATAGCAAGCCTGTTTATGTTGAAGGAGATTCAGATAATCTTTCTGTATTCGATTCAAGTCTCTCTAGGAAGCCTCAGAGTTGGGAATCCAGAAAGAATTTTGTTGATGGTGAAGCTGCCTTACCTCCATCAAAACGCCTACACCGTGCCTTGGAGGCCATGTCAGCTAACGCAGCTGAAGATAGTCTAACAGTTTCGGAGGGTGGTCTATCGACGGTGAATACGTCTACTAATGGATGTTGTTGTATTTCGCCTGGAGGCTGCCCTGAGCTGTCAATGGTGAGCGGAGCAGATATCCAACCTATAGCAGGGATTGCGGAAGGTGCTGATGGTAGATGTGTGAAAGATTCTTCATACGACCAGGATGCAAAATTCAATATTGTGGAACCAGATCTAAAACCAGATTCACCTAATACTGTTGAAAAACATGCTCATTTAGACTGCACTAGTTCTACTGATCATTGTGATACTGAGTGTTCTGAATTGGCTGAACCTTTTAAGGGATCTCATGCTGATATTACCCAGAGGAGTTCAGATACTATCTTGGTGGAAGAAATTGTTGTAGGTTCACCACAAAATGACGCTGATGTGTATCTGGACAAAGTGTGTAGTAAAGGTGATAAAACATCTGAGATGCAGAACCTTTTATTAGCTGAAACAAATCAAGAGAATAGAATGTAAGCCATATTATTTATGTGGGCTATGTTTCTTCCACATTTGTCTCTTATTCTTTACCTTGCTTTTTAACTGTCCGTGTTGTACTTCTGCAGGCCTGAGCTTGAGAAAGAATCAGCATTAAAGGATCCCTCTGCAACTCCAATGAAGGTTATGACCGATTGTCGTAATCAACAATTATCTCAATCTAATTCTTCTTTTGATGATCATCTGCACAACAAAATTGTCTCATTCACTCAGACATCTTCATCTGTAACTGATGGGCTGGATTCTGTTGGACGGGCATCTCCTCCGAGTTCAGCCATACGCAACATGTCTAAAGCGGAAAAGAATAGTTTTCTTGAAAGTAATAGTCGTAGTCCTGATGTTTTATTGCCTTTTGACAAAGCTAAACTAGCTGGCAAGTCTAGCAGCGAAGGAGAAGCTAATAATGCTATGTCATCCTTTGAAACCATTCTTGGATCATTGACGAGGACAAAAGAAAGCATAGGTCGAGCAACACGCATAGCTATTGATTGTGCAAAATTTGGTTTTGCCACGAAGGTACAATTCTTCCTGGTCGTAAATCTTGAAGTCCCATGTATAATTTGAATGGCAAGAGCCTTTTTTCCTTACCAACCTGTGTTCTGTAGTTTGACTTTTGGATGTGTGATAATCAATGCATACATATAAAACTCTTCTATTCTGGTGTTTAGATGGCCAGCAAAACTATAAAGCTATCTCGGAAATAGTTCCTCTTAGGTGCAATCCATTAGCTTATCTTCATCCTGCACACTGGGCATCGTTTACCTATGTTTTCCCTAGGACAATGTATCCTACATAATGAACTTTTCGTGCTTGCTCTCTTGGAGAAAAGGAAAGACTATCAACGTTTATGTTTTTACATCAATTCGTTAGATAAATGTTGTACTGTAAAATGATTATGAGTATCAAGTTAAACTTATTTCTCAGAAAAACTATAAAAAAGGCTCAACATGAGAGATTCACATATTTCTTTAAGATTTATTTTTTCCGAGCTCCAATTGGAACTCTAGGTTGCATTATTATCTAGTGAAAAATGGGCATAGGCTGTTGATATGAACAAACTTTGACTCAAGATGGTATAACATCTGCAATAATGCTCCCTTCTGATTAGGCAATTTTCCGGCACTAGTATCTACATGAATGGATTGTTTTTTGTTCTGTAGCGCTGCACAAATTATTTTACTATGTCAAGTAAATTTTCTTGGATTAATTGCTTCCTCGTTGCAATCAAGAGTGTCATTTGTTGTATGTGCTAATATTATTACTCAATACTAACCTCTCTCCTCTTAGGTGGTTGAACTTCTTGCCCAAAATTTGGAAAATGAGTCAAGTTTGTCCAGAAGAGTGGACTTGTTTTTCCTCATTGATTCTATCACGCAATGCTCTCGAGGCATGAAAGGTAATACATATATAACCATATTCTGGTAGTTTTTCTAATTGTTATGATGGATTATACCTCAGCTGAATTGGAATTTTCAGGTGATGGTGGCATATATCCCTCAGAAATCCAACCACTATTGCCACGCTTATTGTTTGCTGCTGCTCCTCCCGGTAGTTCTCATGAAAATCATAAGCAGTGTTTGAAAGTAAGCAATAAAATGTCCCATTTCCGATTTAATATTTGACCCTCAATAGTCATGCATAGACGCAAGTGCTTCATATTCATATTGCAGGATCACTGTCACCAGTGATAGTCCATCACAAATGATTGGCTTTCTCAAACTAAAAATACTTGAGTATATTTAATGTTTTCTCTTTCTAAATTGTTTATTGCATTAACTATTAACACAAAATTGAAGTAACTCGTATAAAATCAACATTTCATTACCAGAATTTCAAATTTTAAGCATATTCTTTACTGTTGACCACAAGTTCGTGACTTCAAATTAAGTGAAACTATATTTGAATTTTTTATTACCAACTATGAATGCATTATTTTAAATTCTGAGGGTATTTATTTCATTTTGAGAGTATATGCGTAATGTTTGAAAATTGCCAAATGACTTATTGCAATATTCTGTTTCATGGATGCACTGAAGTAATTGCTTTCTTTCTGTTGTTTAAATAGGTTCTGAGAGTCTGGCATGAGAGAAAAATTCTTCCAGAACCCATAATTCGCCACCATATTCAGGAGCTTGATGCCATTAGCAATTCATATCTTAATGGGGCATCCTCCCGCCGACCTTTAAGAAATGAAAGGGCTTTTGATGATCCTATTAGACAAATGGAGGGTATGCCGGTTGATGAATATGGAAGGTAATTTTTAATGCTTTCTTCTCGAACATATCACACGTCCCTACAATTTAAAGGAGCACGATTCCACTTCTAAATACAGAGTGCTATTTCTGGACCATCAGTAATGAGTTTCATCTGGTGGTACAGCAATTCAAGTTTTCAGCTGCCTGGTTTTTGTATGCCTCCAATGCTAAGAGATGAAGATGGAGGAAGTGATTCTGATGGAGAGAATTTTGAGGCTGTCACTCCTGAGCATGATGCTGAAAATGTTGATGGAGAAAGGAATCCGGTTCCTGCAGTTGAGAAGCGTAGACATATCTTGGAAGATGTTGATGGGGAGCTTGAAATGGAGGATGTGGCTCCCGCTTGCGAAACCGAAATTAATTCAATTAGCAATATTACTGGAGCGGGTAGTGAAATGATGTCAAACCATGAATCTGATAGTCATTTTGGGGCTCCATTTGCTCCTTCACTCCCCAAAGACATACCACCATCTCCTCCTCAGCCCAGGTCTCCCTGTCCCCCAGCTTTACCGCCTGCAATGCCTGATTCTGTTTCTCATGGTTCTGATTGGAAGCTTTATTCAAGTTTTCAGGTCTGTTCTGATCCTGGATATGATATTCCTCTACGAGATAATATTATTGATACTAATTCCCAATTTGTTCTGTGATTTATGCAGAAGACCAAAAGAAATATCCAGGACCCTCTTGCAAAGCAGTCTATCATGCCAAATATCAGTCGGACAACTTCCGATGCTGTGCATCATCATTCTCATGACAATAGAAATTTTGAAACTCAGATGCCAAGGACGTCTGACTTCACTAATTCGTGTTCTTTCAGCAGTCAACCTGGCTCCCATCCATCTGCACGAGCCTCTAATAATACTGTATTGTCAGCTGATGGTGCTTTCAACAAGGGTTTTCATCTGCGTCCACCTCACCCTTCTCCAACAAATCAGTTCTCGTATATCCAAGATCAGCGAATGCAGTCCCGGAGGGATGTCCCTGTCCATTCCTATCATAACAGATTTCCGGCACAAAATGCTGGAAATGGTAATTTTTACAGAGATCATGACAGAATGAAGTTTGCTCCTGATAATATTGGAGAATACTGGAGGCCTCCATTCCCTTCCGTCTCTGGTGAATACAGTTTTCTCCCCTTTTATTAGATCAGCTTTAGCTTTGCATTATTATATGCTTGAATTTTGTTAATCAGAATCTTCTAATATATTGTAGGTCCATGCTATCCTGAAAGTGGCAGGATGCCTCATGCACCTATGTCTTACAATGGTCCGCCTTGTGAGCCGCCATTACCTAATAATAGGTGGGCCTGCCCTCCCCAGCCTATGAATCACAGGCAATTTATTCATTATAGACAACCTTCTGAAGGTCCAATTCCTGTGGCAAATAGAGGTTTGTCCTCGTTTCTTTTATCTATTGGAAAGAAATAGATTTGGTGTTATCAAATATTCTGCAGGTTCATTTTTCCTCATTAAATGTGATTGAGATTGAAGTTAGTGTGCAATGTGGTTGTCTTTGGTCTCTCGGAAAGTTCACACTCTGAATCTTTATCGAATTAAGTGAAACGTAAATATTGTTGACATTTCCTTTGCATAGGCTAACAATATTGCATGGGGTCTTCTGCGGGCACCCTTTGTGCAATGAATTTTTGATCTGCGTCCCCTTTTTTATTTGATTAAAAACATTTACAAGAAGCTTCATTAGTTAGAGCCCTTGTTCTTATATCAATTAGGATCGACTGAAAATAGTGCAAAGCAATTGTGTACTGAAGACTTCTAATGCAAATAATATAGGTAGCACCTGAGAATTACGCCTTGAAGTGCCTCTTGTAAGGCATTCATGAGCACCCCTAAGAGTTATGCCTTGACTTTTGTAGCTCCAAGCCCCGAGACATTACTCTCTAGGCTGCTGAAACACGCACCACTTAGTCATTCCTTTTCTAGGCTTTTTCACTGGGCCTCTACTTTTTGGGCTGGTTTTTCTGTAGCTCAGAACATGTAATTGCTTTGGGGAGTCGTTTTGCGTGAAAAACTAAAAGAAAATAATTGGAGATAGTGAAGAGAACTATCGAAGATCTAGTTCGTGCTAGAGCCCTTTAGTCTTACAATTGACATGTGATCCCCCTTCCCAAGTGAAGATCAATGTTATCGAAATTGGACTGGACCACCGGTCCTACGGGAAAACCCAGGAACTGGCCCATAATCCGGTCGCTCAACATGTTATTAACCATTTATAGGAAAACAGGTCAAATAATCACTAAACTGGCCAATTTAACTGCTAACCGGTGAACTGGTTGCAGCATTACCGGATTTTCTGGTTATAATTTAAAAATTTTCAACTACATTAATGGGCTCATGACGGCAATTAAATGCCCTTATAGGTATCTTGGTAAGCCTCTTTTAATAGATGCAACTCCCCCAGTGGAAGCATTAATCTTCCAATATGGGATATAGAGAAGTATTCATTTGCCTAAAAGCCATTTTTTAAATGTTTACCTCATTCTTTCAATTTACGCAATTGTGGGCTCCAACAGAGTAAATTGTCACCACAATCTTTTCGTTCACTTGATTTTTAAATTCAACTTAAATTGGACTTTGTTAGTAGCATAATAATGCTAGATATCCTTTTCTATACCTTCAAACAATTCAATTTTAACAAAGCAAATTATTTGGACATTGATTGTTAGTTTTTGAAGTGTCAAAACTAGTTGTAGAATGATGAGTCTAATTAACTAACATAGATTTGAACTTACTTTGAATTAGTACTATGAAAATTAAAAAAATCTGTTATATTATTTTATATTATGTGTGTATTATTTACTGCATCCAGTTTTGTCCCCCGTTGGACTTCTTGACCCTTGACACATTACCTTTTCTAGGTCGATGTCTGGTTCTGTTTTCAAAACATTGGTGAAGATGCAAGTTTTTCAGGGGATAAATTAGTTTCTTTTGTATATTTCATGCTGCTGTCTTTCTTTTTTGTTTCTTTTATGTGATTTTTCTTTTGATTTAACTTTTAAAGTCAAAGCAAGCAAAATACTTAAATGGTTGCTCAGTTTTACATTTGTATTGGACTCTTTTTGTTCTACTTGTGGATTAATATTAGTCTTGTTATGTGATTATACTTCGTTAATTATTAATTTAATTATTGATACCCTGTTTATCCATTTATATTTCTAGATGCAAATTAGACTTTTGATTTTATGGTTTAATATTTGCACGCCTTTGCAGTTTAAAATTTAATGTAGTAATTGTCTACTCGTGCCATGCACGGAGTTAGTTAAACTACAGGGGAGTTGTTTTAATTTTTTTGGTGTTTCAGGTCCTAACTTTTGGAGGCCAAGACGAGAAATCTGACGGAACTGTATCATGAAGTGGTATGTTGCTGCATCCTCTTACATATTGGTTTTGAGTATCCATTTGCATATCCTATTTATTTAATTTGTAGAATGTGTTTTATAGGGATAAACTTTTTTTCCTATCTGAGTGCCATGGCGTGCTGAAAAAAGTCATCTCGTGATTGACAACTCGCCATTTGTAAAAACTGTGCTGCTGCTATGGCCCGAAAGGAAAATTATGCAAGCTCGTCGTGCAACTGTATATATGTTACCATTCCTTCTGCAGTTACCAAATGAAAAGATAGATTCAGTTTGGTGGGAGATGTGATGGACCCCTAGGCTGTCGACTTTTATGTATTTTTTTTTCTTGAATCTACAGTTTTGTTTGGTGTAACAATATTACTTTTTTCTTGTAGTTTTGGTTTGCCAACATTTTAGGCGATGGTTAGTGCTTTTTTGCCTGTACATTTTGAAGACTTGTTTAACTTCTCTACTTGAGAATGATTTATTTGAAAATACATTTTGGCCCCTATTTATTTGACGTTTTAATGTTTGGGATTTTTTTTCTTTGAAGAACGTGTGGTTAAAAAAGAAGAAAAAATTTTGGGTTTACGTGTAATATTATTTTATATTTATTAAAAAATGTGTGATTGATAAGAAGAGGGAGAAAAATGAATTATAATTTTAATGGAGGGGTTAATTCTCATATATTTATATCTAGTTCCTTTATTTAAAAATAAAAATTTTATTGGTAAATTATTATTAATATTATTATTTTATTTTTTAGTTTTTTAAATTATTGCTGGTGAGAAACATCCTTGACTTTTTATTGTCATTTTCCAAAGATGATTCTTTTTATTTAGTGGTAATTACGTGTAATCCTACTTTTCAAGATTCAAATTCTAAAATCAGATTTCATGTTTTAATGTTCAAAAATCAGATATTTTATAGATGGATACAATTTTTTTATATTTAATTAAATATTAATAATAATATTGTAAAAATGAATTTATATACACCCACCCCACTCCTAAAATTTAATTATCAAACCCTAACCCACCCCGTTTCTCTCATCCCCGTCCCTCTCAAACCCGATTTGAAGCCGCCGCCTTCCGACGACGATTTGCAGTGTTTTTCTAGGACTGATCTTGGTTAGTGGATTGGCAAACAGAGAGAGAGAGAGAGAGAGAGAGAGAGAGCTTGGCCTGATAGCACATCGGCGCTTAAGAGCGGTACCGCTGCTGGAGGAGAGGGCACAAACGGCGTCGAACTCTTCGGGGCAAGCCACGGCCACCAGGCATTCAGCAAGAGAGCGGTTCGAGTGGTGGCAAGGAGTCCCCTCATCTCCTCTCTCCGTGAACCGTCGCGACGATGAGCCGCCCATCCTGTCGCTGCGAGACCACCGGGGTTGGCCTGATCCGGTGGCGCCGTGATGGTAAGATGGGGTTGGGTGGCGGTGGCGTGCTCCTATGATGTCGGTGATGGGGTATTCTCGTCAGATCCGAAATTGGGAAAGCGACCAGTGCTGGTAACTCAATTTGTGAAATGATTAGCTAAAAATGTAGACATAAGCGGCAATGGTGAAGGCTGGATGAACTAATTTACAAAGTGCCGTCTATGTTTTGCAGTGGTTCGTTTGTGTTCACTGGTGTTTTGTTGCTGTGATTTGTGTTTTTTGCTGTGGTCGGCAGTGGTGCGTCGGTGTTCATTGGTTTTTTTTGGTGGGGGGTTTTGGGGATTTGTGGTAGTAGGTCCCGGTTGTGGTGGCTTCTTGGTGTTGGTGGAGGCGCCGTCGTCAAAGAACTTGCAAGGCCGGTCGACGCTGCTTGTGGTAGGTTTTGTGGTGATTGTTTGGCATGTTTTGTTGCGGTTTTTGATGTGGTGGTTGTCATCGAGTTTTGTGGATTCTTTGGTGGGGGGTGGTGTAAACGGAGATGGTGGTGGTGTGTGTGTGTTGCGGGTGTGGTGGTGGGGGGTTTGGCAGGGGATGGTTTTTGGTTTGCTGTCGATTGGTGAGGCTGTTTTGGCGACGTTAGTTATGGTTGTTGTGGTGAGTTGACGGCTGTGGTGGCAGCGACGGAGTGGGGTTAGGGCATGTAAGATGGTGGTGGTGGTATATTGTCTATGACCAATGCTGTGATTTGAGCTATGTGCTGTGACCTATGCTGTAACTTGAGTCATGTGCTGTGACCTATGCTGTGACTATTAACAAAAACCTAAGCGTTTGAAAATAACATGAGACTATGAACAATTGTGTTGTGACCATTTGAAAATAATCTGTGACTTGTACTGTGACCATTATAAAATAATCCGTGACTATTAAAAAAAAATGTGAGAATAGCATTATCATGTTATCAATCATTATAAACAAGCAACCATGCATTGTGACTTGGGCTGTGACTGAACAAAAAAATTAATGTCACCGGAATAGTCGTCGGAATAGGAGCAGTAGCCGGAATCGGAGTAATCGCCGGAGAAGTCGCTGGGGAATGGTAGCCGGAAACGATCACCGGAGAGGTTGTCGGAGCGGTAGGGGTGGTGGAGGTGGAGGTGGGGGTGGGTTAATTACACACACACACACACACACATATATATATTTATATATTTATTTATTTATTTATTTATATCTTTTTATATATTTATATATATGTGTATCTATATGTCAAAATATCTGATTTTTGAAATGTGAAATTTTTCCCTTCTTTTTATCTTTTAAATCACCAATTAAGCCGGGCAGCCCTAAGCCTTGGTTTGCCTGGATTTGACAGTCACGGTTCTGGGCTACCTAGAGCTTGGGCCATTCAGGGCTTGGGGTCCAAGGCTCACAGCCCTATCACCCCTTGGGCTGGACCCCTAGAGCCGACCTATTGCAATCTTTTTTGAGGCTCTACATGGTTACAAGTAAGAACAAGAAAAATGATCAATTTGTAAGTAACGTGTAGGTTGAATGATTTGATCAACTTAAAAATAAATTTGACGACTCAGTTTGAGTACAATACAAACACTAGATTGTCTTGTTTTAGTCACCCTACATGACTTTCTCCATGTGTACTTTCTATCATGAATATGTTACTCCAAACTTATGTCTCATCATATCACTTTCTACTACTATCTAGATAAGAAGAACCTTCCTTTGTGCTCCACTTTAGTGCAACATTGGGATATAGATTATACATGTAGAAAATGGCCCTCTCTATACATGTAGAAATTGGCCCATTTGTGTCTTCTATAGGGGCATTTTATAGGCTGGATCCATGTGAAGTTGCCATCTATGGAATCAAAGTTGCTGTAAAGACTTGGAATTGAGTTTTCATGGTAGGAGGGCTGATCGAGTATAACTGAATAGAGATATCTTCAAGTCAATTTGTGGGCTATGACTTACACCACACCCACACATTCACGTTCTCCCTCTCAGTCGAATAAGATCATTGATTGAAGATCTAAAGTGCAACCAAAATAAAAAGTTTGAGACTGAAGTGTATACACAACTAAAGTCGGTAATCTCAAAGTCTATTTTCCCGCACTCAATAAAATCAACCAATAGAAATCGGTGTGGGAAAGTGAGTACTATTTGGAATTCTAGAGATACTATTGGACATATATGTATATGAAACATTTGCATCCTTGCACCTCAACTTATAGCACTCATAACAACTTCCACTTGACTTGTCAATCTGTATAATTATAGTCCCTGAAAACTAGAGATGGCAACGGCTGGACAAGGACGTCCCTATCCTGTTAGAAATTTTTGAAATGAGAGGTTGGGATGTGATTGTATTAAAATATCTCAATTTACTATCCCTTTTATTCAATTATTTAATAAAATAAAACAAATTTGGCTGGGTTATGAGAGAATCCGTCTGTGGCTATGTGCCCCATCCCCATCCTAATTACTTAACAGGATGGGATTGGAGTATTTTGTCATCCCTAACTTTATAGTAATAAGAATTTGAATTTTATTGAAATACACTCTCCTTTTTATAATGGGTGATTACTTACCAAAACCTCACCTCAAATTGATCAAACATCAAGGCTCCCATCCCCGAAGTCTCCAAGTGGAAAGTTGATATCGAGTCCATTTTCCAGTAGGGTTGTGTTAGGAGACAAACTTCTAGTTCTGTTTTGTCATCTTAGTCTTGTTATTTCAGCTAAGTGAATGAACTCCAAGTTTTGGCCCTACCAAAGGGCCATGAATCTGAATTCACCACACATTTCAATTTTCAAATCTCGGAGTTCCTTCCCTTATATAAGGCAAAAAACCTCTCTGCATTCTTCATTTCACACAGCAGAAACTTAACAGCTTAGAACCAAAACCCAACTTTTGAAGAACACAATAAACACCCGGTATTGACATTTTGCTTAAATAGACATGGCTGCAAGTTCATTTTCATTGAGGAGCACGAAACTCTGGTGTTTGAAGCAAATACGAGAGCAGAAGGCACGCCTTTATATCATATGGAGATGTACAGTTTTGCTGCTCTGCTGGCATGACTAACCTTCAAGATTTGACGTTGAGTAATCCATCACAAGTGTGCAAGGCATCGTGCGTTAGGTAGATTAGATGAACAGTATTACATGAAAAAAGTTCAAGTTTTGTTGAACTATTCAAGTTTTGATACTCAAAAAGGGTGATCTTTTTGTAGTTCACTGTTACAGGGTTTCGGCTAGTGAGAGAAGGTAAATGATGCTGGACCTTCATAGCTTGTATACTGAAATGTATAATAGAAGGAAATATCAGTTTTTAACTTTTGGCTCGAATTTTGCTCTACCAAATACACTTTGGGTCCATATCGTGCATAGTATTAGATAACACTGTACAGTAATGAATATTCCTTTCATCATTCCATAATCTAAAAGTTCGTTCTCCCTGATTATGCTTTTAAATTTTTTCTGGACTCTTTGCTGCAAATATAGAACAGGAAAATTTAAAAGCACTATGGGAAACCTACAAGTTCAGAGCAATGCGGCTACTAACAGGCTGATGTCGAGAACACAAGATCCTCTCAACACCAGAATTGGAGAACGAAACCTCTATTCTTCTCGAAATGTTAAGACTGAACTCAGACCTCCTCACAAAAAAAGCTTTCATTATTTATATTCTCGTGATGTCCATATAATTCTGCAAGGGCATAATTGGTGCAAAATAACAGACAGTATTGATGCAACAGGAGACAAAGTTCGAACTTCTTTCTTAACCAACTAGTGCTGTCCGTCCCACCTACAAAACATGCTACAAGTATCTCACAATTCAAGATGAAATCCATAGAAGTTCCACACGACTTTGCATCATAAAAGATGCTGTGATGACATAGAAGAACTTCCAAGATCAGATGTAGAAGGAAAAGAAACAAAATTCTGGAAGCAGGAATCAATCACCAGGCAAAGGTAGCATGAACATCAAGTCTGTCATTAACCAGTACTCAGCTATATACTGCCATGTCAATGTCGCGATTATCAAAAAATTCCCATTCCTCATCTACACGTTCCTTGGTATCATCTCTGGTTGCTTCCTTTACAGACATCTGTTCGTCCAAACAAGGATCTGGATCTCTTTTATTTGGGTTCTCCAATGAATCAATCTGGTCAGGTACTGATTCAACGTGATCAGGAAACAAGGTTTTCAATGATGAGCTAGACGAAGCCAAAATAAAGCTGGTCTGGCTGGAAGAAAGAGATTTGCTAAATGGAACACGATCATCACACTTCTCTTTTAGCAGCCTCAAATCCTGACGTATAACAGCTATTTCTCCTCTGAGAGAGGGGAAAGGAAAAAGAGGGAAAAATCAGATATACACTTTATCAGTTTAAATATTTCTAATTATTAACTTAAAAATGATCAATAAATTTAAGTTATACATAAATATCGAGTAAATATGAGCATTCAATGCAAAACCTCCATATGATAATGCCACTATGCCAGACGCATACACACCCTTTATCTCAAACTATGATGAATGCGCTTAAGCAGGTTGGATGTATATGAAAAGTTAATTAATCGACTTAAAATTCCTCGTACTTAAATGTAAAACATACAAGCTGCAGCAATTACATTATAAACAAAAGGAGAAGAGATAATGGCTTGGAAACTTTAGGTTACAGGCTCCAGATTATTAAATGTATCTACTATAAAAGAAACACCAATCATCCATAAGAATCTTAGGTTACGTCTGCTCCAATTATACTATTATAAACAACAAAAGGCAATGAATAGAAAGCTAACAATTTAAAGAACACAATTCCACATTGCTTCATCATCATCATTAGAAAATTTCATCTGTTCATTAAAAAATATGATACGACTGTCGTGCACTACTAAAATTCTCGAGTTTTGCATTAAGATCACGGATATGAAATTGAGACTCCACTTTCATAAAATACTGGAAACCATGATAGTACTCAACCTACACGTTGCAAGAGCTGCAGGAATTAATGGATTATATACCTCTGAATTGTTATTTAAAAGGATTTCTATACCTCTGTAGTGTTGTTTAAAAGCATTTCTAACAACATACATCCCCCCCCCCCCCAAAAAAAATGTGCACAAACATGCACAATATAAAAGGAAATATAAATTCAGTGCAAAAACTTGGAAGAACTACATATTGAATTCAGTGTATCAATTTAAATTGATTTGATTATGCAATAAAACCTTTAACTCATATCCCAATCAGAGATCGACACAAATTAAACTCTCAAGTAGAAGAGAAAGGAAACATAGTAACAGAAAATCATAAGACTTACTGCAATATATCTACAACACGACCACGATCCACAAGAAATTCCCTCAACTGCAATACAACATGAACACAACAATCAAATATATAACTTCAATAAAATAAAATAAACATATAACTGAATAGCAACAAATATGTGAACATTTGAAACTAATCTATTAAATTATTTTCTTGGTGAATGACCCCACTTTGGTAACAACTGCAATTCAAGCCAGCATATGAAACAGGAGCCACTACCTTGGCATTATCTTCTGCCTGTTGCTTCAATTTTTTTGATTCCTGCACGACTTTCTCCATTATCAATTCCTGATTAGCAAGTGCTTTATGGGCATAATTTTCCTTTTCCTGCTCCACAAATTTTATCACATTCTCAGCTGCAGCTAATTGCATCTTCAAAGTTTGATTCATCTGCAGGTAAATGCTTGAGAATCAGAAAGTGCTATGATTATAAGCCTCCAAGCACCTATATACTGTTTCATATGATTGAAGGATCAATATTGACATGCTATATTATGAATTGGTTGGCTAAAGTGGCGTCAGGTACAGAAAACGAACTTTTATAGTTAAGAGAACATTCTAGGTGGAAAATCAACTGTCGAGACTCAAGAGTAACTAATTTATACAGTGGAGATTGCATTCTAAATAACGGAGATTGCCTTAAAAATACGCACTTATAGGCAAGAATAGAAAGTTGGTATTAATTTTTTTTTTCCCCTCGCAAATAAGTACTAGTATTTAAGTTACGACAGTTTCCCATTGGTTATTTTAACAAGTTTCAGTTCTTAAGAATTTTCACAAATAAATAGGACTACTATTGTCCATTACTTCAGAAAACAATGTATGCCATTTAGTGTTGTTAAGATTTTTCTCTAATTGGTTCTCACTCTCTTTATAAATACTTAATTCTTTTCTCTTTCTTTCTCTTACTCTTTACCTTTATACATCAGAATATATGATCAACGATAAAGCAATATTATTTTTACATGTGTACAAACAAAACAATGGTATCACACACAACTATTCTTATTATTTTCTTTACATGCCTTCTGTTTCTCCCTCTGTTTCCTCCTTTGAGGGAGGATATTGGAAAGCATGGTTGGAAGAAGAAAGCAGAGAATCATGGAAAGCAAACTTTTGAAATAGTTAAAAATGTATACTGGATTCATTAAATTAAAAATGACGTATGATGTTTTCGGATCAGATGTGCCATGCCCCCATTGAAATTCAATTAAAATGTGAAAAAAAAAATGGTATATTGGAGATGCAAGGGCGTCTGAAATAACCTCATGAAGAGTTGCAACAGATTCATTTCTTTCATCTGACAATGAGAGAACACGAGATTGAAGTTCTTTCAACTCAGTAGATAGGATTGCTTTTTCACCATATATTTCTCCAGCTTGCTGCAAACAGAAGAAACGAACACCATATTTTTTTCAAAGAACATGCAAGCCTTTAGCTCAATATAAGCAAGAAATAATGCTATCAGCAATAGGAGTAGAACCATTTCATTTGCCTCCTTTGCATGTTGCACCATTTGTCTAAGCTCTTCAACCCTATCCAATATATCAGCACCGCCCTCAGCAGCTTCCATTTTGGCTAGTTCTGCAGTTTTCTCTTTAAGTTCCACTTCCTTCATCATGATGACAACAGACTCCATTGTAGAAAACCTTGTTTTCTGCACCATAGTACATTATAAGAGCTAACATATAGTGACAGTCAAATAATACAAAATGTAACCTCACTCTTCTTCTTTACCTTCTGTTGGGGAAATTCTCACAAAAGTTTTGAAGAATTAGTTTCAAAACACATCTCATGGAGCGAACAATTTGATGGTAGATTAATTATATTGAATTTTTTGACTTTTTCTAAAAATCCAGTCCTCGTATTTACTTTGATACATTGAAACTACTGATATGCACTATCTGAGGTGCGTTGTGGAAACACATCAAACTCTTCTCCATTGTATTATAAATTTCAATTTCCATCTGGATCTTGATACAAATATAATTTTCATTTTTGACGAAAAAATAAAAAAATTACTGAACTCCACTACCAAGACAAAATACTCGACTGAAATGACTTAAGTCATCAAGAATGAATCATCCTAATTGTACAAAATGTTGAATTTAGACAGCCACAGCCCAAACCATCAAATTACTATGAAGGAATAAAAAGTATCATTTCATACAATACTCCCCAGCTATCCCTAAAGCTTTTAGCTAAATTAATCATTGATAAATATAAGAGTTTGGCATTGCTGATACCTTGTTATTTCTTGCATCTGCAATTATATCCTCTATAAGATCAATGACACAAATTTGTCCAGATCCGTACAAACTATCATTCAAGGTAGACTTATCTTCAATACCAACCATTTCATTGCTAGCTTGTATCATAGAAGTAGCATCCGACAAATATTCGTCTAGTTTCTCTAGATTACCCTCTTGAACATCAGGTACCCCTACCAATTGTACACTGCTTCCTGATGGACTCAGAGTTGGATCTTTTAAAATAGGATGTTCCACATAACTATCCACCTCAAATGATTTCCCATCTGCGCAAGGTTTTCCCTGACGATTTTCCTTATGGATTGCCACATTAGGATCACTACCTAAGAGCCCATCAAATTCTTCGAGGCCAGGCACAAGATTCATGTTTTGATTGACAACTACATTCATGTGTTCCAAAGTTCTTGGTGTATGACAAGGACTATGATTAGATACAGGTTTGATACAGCTTTCTGAACATTTTCCAGCTGAAATCATTCCCTCTCTTTCAAGGTCTGCAGATATATCTGAATGATTGTAATTTGCCCCACTTCTATCAATCACAGTAACAGGTTCAATGTGACGAAACACATCAGTACTGATTCCAGCGTTACTTTTCTCACATTTCTCTGATAGTTTCAAGCCAGGTACCCTATCATCTCTTGCTTGATTACCACATTTATTATGTCCATCATTTCCATCATGAAATGCTTGCTGAAGTCCTCCAATCCCAACAGTTGGAATGTCATCTGTAAGAGCTGTTGTAATCAAAAGATTAAGGAAATGAATCCACATAAAAATTATAATTCACAGCATAGTAAACCTTCTGCATGCAATCGTAAGATCAAACCAACATAAAAAAAAGTAAGCAAGAAACTACTACCTTTAGATGATTCACCAACATTCACGCGCCCTCTGGATTCACAACTTTGTCTTGATTTTTCAGTGAAAAATGGGATGATCTCCACAAGGACTGCATCAATAGCAGCATCAGCATCCTTGCTATGCTCAATGGCAACAGCTCTAAGAACTCGAGAGTCAATCTGCCCCCACAAGGAAGAGAAAAGGCATCAAAATGTGGTTTCTGTGGGGGTCCCTTTTCTTTTATGAAATAACATTTCATATTTATTTATTTAAACGAAAACAAATAAGAGAATAGAGAATGACACTCATACATAATAATGCAAATCTTCACAATCCAAAAAATGTTAAATATAGTATGTTACATTCCAATTACAAAAGTACAAGCAAAATATTTACAAACATCATGTATTTGGTTCGCTACAACTCCAAAATCATACCTATTCATTTGAAGCCCATAATAAGCAAGAAAAGATAATCACAAAGAAAAACATATACAGATGATCACCAATAAAATCTGGAACCTAGAAATCCCAAATTACCTGTGGGAAAATTTCCAGCAACGCCTTATATACTTCCTTGAATCCCATTCGAAATTATAAAAATCAATTCTGCAATTCAACAAACAGCATATCTTATCCAAACCCATAATTATTGTCAAAATTGATTGAACTTACTAAATAATAAATACAAAATGCAGGAACATAACTACACAGAGCATTGAAACCGGGCATAATCTTCAAAATCACTAACACCTCAAGACTACATACATATACTGATACTATTTCTATAATAAATCAGTCGAACAAAAAGAAAAATAAACATAAAATATAATATTATAAAAATAACATAAAAAGTTAAACCCTTTTCGTTTCTTGATAAAAAGAATCGAAATTCGAAAAAAGAAAACAAATAAGGATACAAACTTTTCGAACCTTTTTTTCCTTTCTGTCTCTTTACCAGCAGGAAAACAGAGTGATGAAAATTGAGTATATATTTCAACGCGGGCAACTAGAAACAAGAGCTAAAATTAGAACCCTAGTTAGGTGATGAAATGGGAACTGAAATTCATTGAATGGCGCAACAAATTATCACAATGAAATCAACAAGAGGTAGTCATACTTGTGTATATAGGTTGATGTTACCAAAGGGCAAGGGAATTTGATCAAGGAACGTATTTATACGTTCTATCTAGAAGACTGGAAAAAGTGCGTATAATATTTATACGTCTCTCTCTCTCTAGGAGTAAGACCTTGTTTAGAGTTTTTTTTGAATATAGAATATTATTTTTTCCAAAATTATATTCATCAAAGTATTTTAACTGTATCCATATTTTTTTTAAAAACTTTTTTACGACACATTTTCTAATTTAAAAAATTAATTAAAAAAAAATATATATATATATACACACACATATATACTCGAGAAATCTCTCAAACAAGCTCTAACTAATTGCGTGACAGCAAGCTCAAGACTGTGGAGGCGATTGCTCCCCATTTAGCCTCAATTATAGAAATTTCAAGTGAAGTGCTATTTGACAGATAATAGTTGAGTTACATGTTTCATTAGCTACCGAACTTTATACTATGTTATGGTTTACTCACTGAATTTTCAAATTTGTTCCATGACCACTGAACTTCAATCTGTTACCATCCATTACTCACGGATGAAATCTGTGAAGCAACGTGTCTACGTGGCAAACGGAAAGTCTAGCTGGCCAATTAAATCAATCCAAGTGTTTAACGTTTTGCCAATCAGTGTCCACGTTAGCATATACAAACATGCCTTTGCCAAATTGATTCACGCAATTCACTTTCATTAAAACCCAATTCACTCACTACAAACCAAAAATGTGAACAAGAAAATCAATTTCAATTCCTGAAACTCCCCAAAACAAAATCGAAACCTTAAATCCCCCAAATCAAAATGAAGTCAACAATCCCATAATCCCGAAATCAAGAATTTTACTCTGCCACGGTCCTTCCCGCCGTTGTTGACTACTGAAAGAGCCCAACCGAACGTGAAGAAGCCGTACCCATTTCATTTTTGTACTTCGAGCAAATGGACGAAAAACACGAAGGTAATTTCCTAACTTTTTTTGTTGTTTTTTTTATACGATGAGTTCAGACACATGCTAAAGATTACATAGATAAATTTACATTCCCATGGTTCCTAAATTTTATAGTTGTTTCTATGATTATTTTGTTGTTCGTCATTCATATGTTTCTGTTCTTTTTTCTTGTTGTTCCATTTTTTTCTATGTTTGTTCAGTTGTCATTCATATGTTTCTATTATCCTCACCGAACTATGTTTCTCTACTTAATTACATACAATTGTCGTGTTTACCTTGGCTACGATTTGTTGTTTCCTTTTATGAATTGACTGCCTTTTGTATAAAGCATTGTCTTAGTAATGGATACATCAAGTTGTACATCCTATTTACATTGTCTTTACTTTCTTCCATTGTTATGTTTGAGGTGAAAGAAATACAATAAATAAATTTCTTACATTTTATAGTACAATACAGTGTTACAACATCTATCAAATGTGGTTTAATTGCATTGACTCGCTATTGGTTTAAAATTTGATCATTTGCATGTATCATTGCTTAATGCGGTTTAATTGCATGATAGATTCCAGGGAAGATTCAAATTTCATAGATTTTGACCATGACTTTAAGTCTGAACATGACGACATGGAATATGAAAGAAATGTAATTGATGGGATTGAAATTGGATTGGACGGCCGTCAAGATGAAGTTCAGGATGAACGAGAAGAGGGCAATGATAACGAGTTTGATAAATTGGAACTATCATTGGCAGAGAACTACTATCCCAATGTTCGTTCGATGAGGATGATATGTATCATTTTCCTGAATTCTCATTTGATCTTGAAAAGAAAAATCATCAATTCGAGGTAGAGCAAATATTCAGTTCCGTGTTATAGTTCTGAGAGGTGGTGCGAACGTACGGTGTATTGAACAGATACAATGTTAAGTTTAAAGCAAACAAAAAAAGAAGAGTGCAAGGAATTTGTAAACTGGGATGCAAATGGAGAATATGGGCTTCTAAATTGGATGTATTCGAGAGGTTACAAGTAAAATCTTACACTTTGGAGCATACATGTAGTCGAGACCAATTAATATACATTGCAATTACGTATTTCTCACAAGTCAGTATATTAAGTAATTTAAGGAGGACCCGAACTGGAGGTCTAAACTTATTTTGGCAACAGTGAAGAAGAATCTCTGCACATATATTAGCAAAAATGTGCCATGAAATATGCAGAGATATGCCAAAGAAGTTTTGTTAGGGAATTTGCAAGAGCAGTTTAGGTGATTGCTTTCTTATGCAAAATGTAATAGATGAGTTGTTCTCCGCGGTTGAACATAGATTCCATGTACGACATATGTACATGAACTTCTTTAATGCTGGATTCAAGAGTAAAATTCTTAAGAATTACTTATGATGTGCTGTCGGTCGACCATTGTTGCTGACTACTGACATTGGACGCAATAAATTCGTCAAATTAGTGAGGAGGAATACAAATGGCTTATGGAGAGGCACCCACGAGAATGGAGTAGATTACATTTCTCAATTCAATTGAAGAGTGACATTTTACTTAATAATTTATACGAAGTGTTCAACAAGACTTTAAGGATTGATAGAGAAAAGATGATTCTATACATGCTAACTTCACTTCAATTAACCTTTATGAATAGGATTTGAAAGTGTCGAGACACGATGATGAGGTGTACAAGACGTTTGTGTCCAACGATCAAGAAAAAATTGCACAAGATTGCTGAGAAATTGCGTGAATGCACATTGCACTTGTCTTATGGTCTGAAATGGCGAGTTGAATGCAACTTTTGAACATATGTTATCGACCTACAGGAGAAAACTTGTGCATGTAGAGAATGGGAGCTTACATGCATACCTTGCATACATACAATGGCAATAATTAGGAAATGTAGAAATGATCTAGAATTCATTCACAACTGCTACACGATTGAGACATATATGAGGTGCTACAATTGTATCATGCATCCAATTAAAGCTTTGCGACTATGACCACAGTTGGATATGCTTGATATCACTGCACCATCATGGACTGTATAGCAAAAGGGAAATAGACATATAAATTAGAGAAAAGTAGCATATGAAGATGTGATAGTGCAATCGCAATAGAAGAGCTATAAGCAGAAAGGGACGTCCGACAATGACATACTCATCATGCGGAGCGCAGGGTCACAACAAGCGATAACACTCAAGGCTAGATGGACCTGATTCTGAGTATGATATTGCTTATTTAGACTTCTTAGTTCTTTTCGTTGATAGGATTGGTTTGAAGGCAATTTAGAACTAGTTGGCCCACATCACAATAGAGCGATGGATGAATGAGTGAGTAAATATTGCTCTATTTTTTTTAAATGTACATCGTGATATTTGTTTAGCAATGTGAATATCCTAATTATGTGATGTGTGCATTATGCAAGGTAAACTGGTAGCAGATAGGGGGCAACGAACATCGACAGACCACCCTACAAATGAACAAACTTTCCATTTCATTCCAATCTCGATGGTGTCTCGTGAAGCACAATCAAGTGGACCGAAAACTGGTCCAGCTGCAATGATGTGTACTCAATCAGTTCCAACCAATGATGTGAACTTCGATAATGTCATGGATGACTTAAATGACTTGGGGAATGTGGAATCTGTAAATATGATAGATTCGAGGGCATGAAAACTACGACTCTCGATGCAGAGTACATAAGTAGGAACGTGTTTTTGAATACAATATTTTTGCTTTTTTTTTTTTTATGAAATATGTGATGGGAATTATGGACATTATGTGCAAATATAGAAATCAGAGGACGACAGAACCTATACCTTGGATATGCACAATAACAGCTCCATTTCCTGTCAGTTTGAACTTTAGTAAGTCGGCTATTTTACTTATATTTTATTGTATGAAATGTTATAATTTCCTCTTTAGTGAGTTCTTTATCCATTCGTTGCAGTAAAGCAGCCATATACCATAGAAGAACTCGAACCAGCCAAGAGTCTAAAGTGGACAAAGCACTAGCTTTTGTTTTGAATTGCATTTGTTTTGAATTTCATTTTGGATTGTAAATTGAACTCATATTGTAAGAAGTTTGACTTTTGGTATATATAAAGTTTGATATTGTTATAAATAACGATGACAACATTTAAATTTCATATTTCACTTGTCAATCTAATTCAGCTATAAAACCATCAATACGATAGAAAAGACTAAATGAAAGTCAAAGGTCCAAATGAGATAGTACAACGAAGTCCAATGTTTAATCACATTCTTCTTCTTGTGTCTCAACTTCAACTTCTTAAATAACAGTTAATTTCAACTTCTTAATAAGTTTCACTACTATATCAGTTAACTCCACTATCACAAATTTGTCCACACAAAAGAGAGAGAGAAACTAAACGGACATGGACTTGCAAAATAACACTTGGACTACACATTCAACCAGACACTTCATGAAAGGATACCAAAAGATTCATACACAAATTTGAAGACTTAAAATTGCATTCAAACAAATAAATAAATGCGCTTTACAATCCCAAAATTACACCGTCGATAACTCACCATCGTCAATTAAAACACACAACCAAATTGAAATACAAAATTTTGGAAAACATGTCCATATGAGAATATATTCTTCACCTATATTCCGAAGTTTGATGCGTAAGAACATTCAAATTACGGGGGTGCACAACATTTCAAACTTTAACGCCTAAAAATTGATTATAAAATTAGCGAATTACATAAACTTGTCAATAACATAAGAAAATCGATTTCACGAAGCTCCTCATTTTGTTTCCCATTATCTTTCTCTCATTTTCCCTTGCGAGGAAGTAAATTTGATAGAGATATTCACATCATTTTCTTTAGTTATTTTGGGAACACATAGACTTCTCTTGAGATTTGGAAAATAAAATCCTAAATTGATTAGGGTTTGAGAGATCTTGGAGAAGATGGTTATTGATTTGAACCTAAGGTTCTTGAGCTTCAATTTCACGGAGCAGCTCGATTTGTGAAGAGATAACCTGAAGCTGATTGGGTTTTAATGAAAGTGGAATGCGTGAATCAATTTGGCAAATGCGTGTTTGTATATGCTGACGTGGAGGCTAATTTGCAAACCATTAAACACTTGGACTGATTAACTAGCCAGCTAGACTTTTTGTCTGCCATGAAGACACGTCACTTAACAGATTTATGCCGGTGAGTAATCGATATTAACAAATTATAGTTCAGTGGCCAATGACACAAGTTTGAAAGTTTAGCAAGTCGTGACATGGTACAACATTCAGTGGCTAATGAAATATTTAACTCGATAATAGTCTATGTTTTGCCTCCATTTTTCAAAAAATTCATTTTTAGCCATACATTCTTTCATAAAATAATTTTATATGTACACCCAACATTTTTCTTTATTTTCTAATTATACATTTTTCAAA